CTGTCGGTGGCTAAAGATGAGAAAAGTCGGTGCACTGACGACGAGTGGAGCGAACTAAGGGAGGAGAAGAGAAGGGAAGGAAGAGACGGATAGCCAAACAATCAGACAGCCAGAAAGACAAGAGGCAAAAAAAGAAGAGGGGAAACGTGGGGCCGTGTTGCGATACGTCCCGATCATCTGCAGAGTGACAGTTGGAACTTGCGGCCTTGTCCAGCCTGAACCATTTTTCCTGTTGTGTCCAGCTAAAAAATATTGTCCTACTAGCTAGGCTACTCCTTAAGAGTAACTACGTACTACTACCACACAGTAGACTAAATTATTACTCCGTGGTCTTATCCCCCTCCCTCCCTCTCCCTCCCGCGCGCGCCGGCTAGGGGCAACCACTAGCCCTCATCATCCTAGTCAAGTGTGTACCTCTTACTATCGACCTTCCTGAATAAGGCAAGGTTGAGGGAAAAAAGGCCCCTCTTACTCACCTCTCTTCTTCTCCTCTCCCTCACTCTAACCAAATACCTCCTCTTCTGCATGTCAGAAATTTCCACAACTGGTTTGACGAGGGGGTGAGTGGGTGGATGCGCACATCAAACACGGCTTGCTTGTCTTTTGCGGTGCTTCTTCTCTTCTGCTGCTACTGCTGCCATGCCATGTTTGATCGATCTCCCCATTTCAGTTTGCGCCGTTCTTCCCAACCAAGTTTCAAGTGGATAAGAATGTCAGTCCATCTCGGCAGGCGCACAAATAGCAATAGTCCTGATGGAGCCGTTGATCCCGTCCTACTGGTAATTTCCACAACGTCCGGCTCAAACCAACTACTCACACCTTTCCCGCTCTGGATAGGGAAGGGGAGGGGGGACCCTCCTTTAACCGTGCCCCAGACCCGTTCGGATTCACGGTACTGGGTAATGCACGGATCGATAACCAAAGTTCCAATGCGAACCAAACCAAACCAAACCAGAATTCAACCACTGGATGTCAAGATTAGACTGACCAAGTACTTAGCTATCTATCTAACGGGAACTATCAACCGAGAGATTGACACACTGGTCGAAGTCTGAAGGAATCAAGAATTGGGATGGTTTGATGGATTGACTGATTGACCGAAGAATAATGATGAAGATCGGTCGGGAAGCCAGTCCACTCTCTCTGACAGCCAAAACACTCCTACTACACAGTACTCCGTAAAAGCACGTACCTTAAGTAACTCTCTGGCACCTCGCTCTGAGCCCCATTCCTCTTTGTACTCGGTGCAGCCGTATCCTCGATCCTGCCTGCACACAGAGTTGTCGGAGTCGGAGTCGGAGTAGTTACGGGGGAACGTGAGTTAATTTAGCAGAAGCGGCAGCTGTTGTGGTTTTAAGTCTATCTTCTTGCTACTACTAGTCAGTAGCACTGGGTCCGTTGTAACTCTTAGTTGATTATTCTATGTCCAGTTCATCTCACTGAATTTTCACTTTCAAAGGATCTTTACTTCTTTTTTTTCAGAATTCTTTATATATATAAGTATTTTAGAATAATCAATATTTTTTTTTTTAGTCTTCTTATATCATTTTCGATGCTCATTTTTTGCTTTTTCTCTTTAGCCTCATTCTCACTTTGAGGCGCCTCCTCCCTTCCCACACATGCCACTCATCACACTGCCCTCCGCACCTGATGCATATCCCTGCTCTGGACTAAATATCGTGCGAGCCCCCTTTCTGCAGGTTGTGTGACGGACCAGGCGGAGGCTTGTCCAGTAGGGAGGAGTGGAAGGAACACTGAGGCGCGTCCTTCCCGTGGCGGTCAGCCATCCAGCTGTGGACTGCAGCCTTGTCGCCTTAGAGAACCCGAGTACGACCTTAGCCGGCCGTTGTGGTTGGGGCAAAAAAAAACTGAGAGTAAGGTTTCTAGGAAAATGAACTGAAGTTGATCGCGGACGGGCCATTTATTAATAAAATTCGTAGACAATATATATTTATTACATTATGGATAGGTGTGTGTGTTGACCGTAGAGGGAAGGGAGATTTCTACAGTAGGGCCCAAAAGGGTAGGATAAAATCCTCGATCGATAGATTCAATCCGATCGGAGAAGAGGGGAAAGGGAGGAGTCAGTCAGAAAGAAAGCCTCATCATCTGATGAAAAGCATCGACTTGGGGCTATGGAAGTTAGTAGAGGATCGAGGAAAACGCTGGCCAACGCGCCCACGGCTCCTTCCCTCGTACGCACACACGCAACACACGCCCTCCACCTCCCCCCCTCGGAGCAAGCAGCCAAGTTCTACGACGGTTCGGTGCAGATGAACAATTCAGCCTCTTAAACCGTGCCCGCGCGTGGTGACCAATCATCGCTGGCCATGCAGAGAGCCTCAAGAGGTGGAGCTCCCTTTCGGGTCTAGCTCTTCGGGTCGGCCTCGTGGACGTGGCATTATTCTTCCTGCTCGAGAAGTGGTCGGCGAGGGGGTGGGAAAAAAGGAAAAGGGAAAAAAGGTGAGCATGCTGAGGGAAACACACACGCACACAACTCTCTCTGTCTCTCCACTCACTACTACACAGACAGACAGGCAGGCAGGCAGGCAGACTAGATCAGACAGCTTGCTGCGAGAGACACTCTGAACCCGCCTTTCTTTGCTCCCTCTCCCTCATCTCACACATACACAAGACATTCCCCTCTCCATCCCCTTACCTCTCTCCTCACCCTCTTTCGCGGCTTTGTCTCTTTTTATCCCGCCCCGGCAAGAAAAGTCTGGACGGCCGTTGAGTGTCTTAACTAGGATTATTGTCGGTAGGTAGAAATTTTGCTTGTTTTCCTCTCCACCCGGGTTGATGGTGTTGTCCCTCCCTCCAGGCTCACCCCACTTTGTTTGCCTGTCTGCACGCTGTGGCGCGCGCGTCTGGAGAGTCAGCTTCATTCATTTCCTCCGTCTTCTTCCGTCGTGTCCTGTGGATTCTTCTTCATTACTCTCTTGTGCCAGTCCCTACTGTTTTGTTGCAGTGGGCATCCAATGCCGTTTTAAAAAGTAATCTAAACCCGAATTTCCTCTGGAGCCTCCCTAGTGCTTTCTTCAAAGACAGCAGAACCAAGGACTGACTAACGTTTGTTTGGGAAGCACGCCCAACAGAGCCTCCGCATCTGACCAGCCAAGGGAAAAGAAGAAAACAGCCCAAGCAGAAAAAAAGAAAAGAAAAAAGAAGACGAAAAGGAAGTGGAAGTAATAAAAACAAGAATTGGAACCCGACGAAAGCTGCCGAACAGGCAGAACAGAACAGAGCAGAGACAAATAAATCATCAGTCAGCTCAGCTCTCACCAGCTAGCCCAGCCCAGCCAGCCAAACGAAACAACCAACCAGAACTTCTGCAACTATTATATTTTGTACCTCTTTACTATTTTACTACGGCAACTGCTACTTACAGGTCCCCTCTCCTGCCGACCTTGCCAGTTTCTTCCTACAGTTTTCTTTGGTTCCTCCTAACGGAAGTACTGCTACTGCTGCTGCTGCTGCTGCTGCTGCTGCTTGCTGTCTACCACTACCTTCAACCGTCAAACCAGAAATCAAACCTGCTGCTTTCTCCACCCGTGTTTTTCCAGCCCGGCCGGTGGATCAACCTTCACTTCTGAGTGGATTGATTCTCTGCGTTCTCCTCAATTCTACTACCACCACGACGGCCACGCCAAACTAAACTAACTAAACTATCCGTGTGTCTCCATCTGCCTTTTCCCACCTCGCTCTTCCTTTATTACTACTGTGATCCTTCCCCTCGGTTCGGCCGTTCCAGCGCAACTACCTGCTGACCGCTCCGCGGCCATACCCTTAACCTTCTTTTTTTTTTCCCTTTTACCACCTGCCAAGCGCGTCATCAACCCGCTTGCTGGGACCATTAGCTTCATCGGCCACTATTCGTTCCAGTGTCCCTTGATTACCGGACACGGTCATCGTTATTACTCGGGCCTAAGATTATCGCTCTTTTCTGCCATTATCATCAACATCATTATTATTCTTGTTATTGTTATTACTACACCACCACTCTTATTATTCTTCGCTCGCGACTACTACCGTTCTGCTGTTGGCGCCGTTAGACGATGAATTTTTCCAGCCTCTAATCCCTGCTCCTCCACCTTCTTCTTTTATTCTTCTTTTCGACCCGAGCCGTGACATCGTGACATCGTGACCTCCCTTATCGTCAGCACCACCACTGAGCGCTCAACTTTATCCTGAACTGTTTTTCTTTCCCCTCCCTTCCCCTCCCCCCATCTTCTCCCAACCCCAGTTTTATCCACGCGGCTCGGAATTCCCGCGCGCATGATTTATTGATCTATGCGCCCGGTGGTGCCGTGGTTGACTGAGTCCTGACGTGCAATCGCTTTCAATTGAGCCTCATTGCGCGGTTCCTGCGGCTTTCTCGGTTCCTGACAGCAGGTGAGCCTATTTTGCATCTCCTTCCCCCATCGCTAGTAATCAGAAAACCCCCCCGTATCTTGCGACTGGCGGTTTGCTTGCTATCAATTGTCACCTTGCTTCTTCTCTTTCCTTGGCTATTCTTGGCCAATCTTGCCTCCTGGTTATTGTCGTAATTGGTCCAGCTCGTGGTTCCCCTTTGAGATCTTAAAGATCTAGACTGCTACTTGCTGCCTCCGGGCTATTTGCACGATCGTCTAGATTTTTTCCCCCCATGCCCTGCACGTTCGTCTGGCGTCTTATCCCCCCTTCTGTGACCTGCTCTCTTTCTCCCGAGTGAGCGTTGCACAGGGTATCCCACCTGTACCCTATTCATATCCAACTTTGTCCTTCTCTGTCGTGCCACCGCTTTCTCTAGCCTGTGTACATGCTAACATGGTGCCAGCACACCTGCATTCGACAAGTGGATTGTGTCCTATTCTGCTTAGCAAACCGTTTGAGCGGCTGTCTATTTTCCGGGTTGAAGACTGTGTTCTGAAACACTTCTTCAGGGCACTCGAAAGGTAACAGGCAGGCCAAATCAAACAGTAAGGGGCGGCGCACCTGATGCGCCTAAAACCGCCGCCTTCATGACAGAATCATACGATTCCGATGGACCTCGGACCCCTGCGTTGAAGCCCCAAACGATCAATTACCTGCCAAAGGTGTCACCGCCTCCATTCGATACCGGAGATCAGTCACCCAAGGGCGGTCTACCTAAGCACGATGCAGAGGCACAGTTTCCGAGCAGTTCGCGTAAGCTGCCGGAATTCCAAAAGCCCGATTCAATCGAGGGCAACTCGGTGCTGATCAGACATTTAGAGCCTAATCGACCTGACATAGCCTGGTTCGAAACTGAACATCCGCTTCACCGCAGCACTCCAGCGGACGACCCCCATCCGGACCCTCCCAAGTTCCTATTCGCCCCGGAAAAATCCTCCGTGGAGACCAAGGAGCCTGTAGATGTGGCGAGAAAGGCTCTCAACTTGATCAGTCCGAGCGAGCCCAAGGAAGGAGGCCCGTCTGTAGGCCCGAAGGATCCTCCAACAGCCTACAAGGAACCACGCCGACCGTCCATCCCAGTGGAAGAACCTGCGCTCAAAGAAGAACAGCAGCAACACACGCTGCCTAATATCCCTCATATCTCACATCTATTCCAGGATGGGAAACTACCTGATCCTGATGCACGATTAAGCAAGTTGCTGATAGCACCGTCGGAGCCAACAGCTCAGCTCCCCGCCCTCCACCCGTCAGCAACGGCGAGATCCGTGAATCATAACCTGCCCTCCCTTTCAACGGCATTGGCCGGTGTTACCGATGTACCACCACCTGCTGGTGCCGGACGTCTGAATGGCTCGTCTTTCGGGCCTTTGCCTCCGGTCTCATCTTCTTCTCCCCCAGTATCAAGGACAGATCCTGTCTGGGAGCACCAACGCTTAGGCCAGATTCCGCCTCCTCCCCCGCAAGTCCCGCCCAGCCCCTACTCGCACTTGTCACCAGCGAGCTCGAAGGACATGTCGGCCATGTCGTCGCCCGCATCCCAGCAGGCTTACTGGCGGCCGCCTATCAAGGCGGACATAACGTATCTCACTTCAACATATGAGACTGCGCCGCAGACGGTCAAGAGCCCCGCAACAAGCTATCCCACCCCGACAGATCAGACTCCAGCATCAACCTGTGATCGGTCATATAATCCCCCCACACACTCGAACGGAGCGGTCTCCACAGGCACATACAAGTGCCGTCACCCTGGCTGCACCGCAGCCCCGTTCCAGACACAATACCTGTTGAAGTAAGCAGTTTCACGTCCACCGGTCCGGTAACCCAAGCTCATTGCATGTACAGCTCCCATGCAAATGTTCATTCTCAGGATCGCCCGCATTTCTGCCCCATAGCTGGCTGTCCGCGTGGACCCGGCGGGAAAGGATTCAAACGGAAGAACGAGATGATTCGACATGGCCTTGTCCATAATTCGCCTGGATATGTATGCCCCTTTTGTCCAGACCAACAGCACAAATACCCTCGACCGGACAATCTGCAACGGTAAGCCTTTACTCGATCGCATCGAATGTCTCTCAAGCCAGCTCACAAGTCACGAAACAGACACGTCAGGGTCCACCATGTCGACAAGAGCCGAGATGATCCGGCTCTCAGGCAGGTCCTATCGCAAAGGCCAGAGGGTAGTACGCGTGGACGACGCCGTCGGAACAACGTACCGTGAATCAACAACTCACATAGGCCTCATCACCATTTTCATCATCGGCTCAGCGATATGCTCTAAAAGTGCAGGTTACCATTATACGATATTGCATTAGCGACAGCGTCCGTTCGCGTTGATTTATTCTGAAATGAAGAGATGACTTTCTCAACAACCGTCCATGTGACGTTGTGAGGATAACGCAGTCAATTCTTTGTCTATCATCATCGACCATCATGGCATTCATGTATACTGACTGCACATGCATTACGAACCTTCCCACTATCTAAGCAATCCACCAATAACCCCCTTCTTTTCCACATCTATTCGACTACCCCCTTTTTTCAGTGATACCAGATGTTGTTAGAGCCTTGATCTACTTCTACTTTCAACTTCAATTCCTCGTTCATCTTCTTGCATTGCTCGCATCATGTCATTCGCTTCTTGTGTTCGAATAGTTTGATTCCCCCGTTCGTCTTGCTAAATAATCTGGCGAAGTGTGCACGGGTTTGTACAAGACTTTGCTAGTGGGCGTTTTTGCCGTGTTTCTTACTTGTCTTTTCGCACTTTTTCTTTACACCATTGCAATCCCCCCTTTTTTCTTTTCTTTCCTTATTTTTATCTTCATCTTCGCTTCTTATTTCCCAACTACCCAATTTGCGACCTTATTCTTCCCACTTCGCTTTTCGCTTCTCCCTCAGACTATACATATAGGAGGCTCTGGCGTCCTCATTTTCCTTTCCTTTTTGTTTTTTTTCCCAATTTTCTTTTTTATTTTGTGGATGGTAACGAGAGGCGTTTTTGTCTCTTCCCAACGGTTCTGTTTCATCTCCTATTTCCTTTTATTTACGATGTCCTGATTTGACTTGAATTTACCCGAACTTGCACTAGCTAGCTAGCCAGACTGAGCTGCTAGCTGGCTACAATGATATGAATTGAGATCAGATGAAATGGGGAGAAAATATTTATCTAGCGAATAAGAAGGAATAACGAGATTCAGACCAATTGAGATTTTGAGCGTGAGTTGCTGTAGTAGGTTGTGTTGTCTAGCCGGCTAGCTAGTAAAGTATGCGGTTCAGCGGTGATAAGAAGTCACAGTCACACCACGTCAGAAAGCATAAATTGACAAGGCTGAGAAAGATAACTACACAAAAGGTGCTTAATAAGCAGAACGACTCAAAAGAAGACACGTATAAGTACAGTAGAAAGTAGAATGGTGAGTTAATTTAGTAGTTGGTAAGGTGGAGTGTCACTGTCACTGTCCTGCAGTGCTGATGGTCCAATTTCCCCTCATTTTTAATCTCAGATGGACCGAACTAATGAAATGAAAACCAATTACCCCTTCCAGGAAAAGCCAGTAAATCGCGCCGTTGGTCCCATTTATCTCCACCATATCCCGAAACTGTGGATATCCCGTTTGATTTGTTCAATAGAAAGGTGATAGTAGGAAAAACTATTTTCAAGAAGAGGAGGGGCAGCAGTAAGAAAGAAAGGAAGGAAGAGGGAGGGAGGATCAAAGGGGTGAGGGAAAGAGAAATCATCAAGTCTCTCTCCTCTTATGAATCCTCCTCACATGGTCCTTCATGTTGTCTACCCTACTAAATACCCGCTGACACCCGTCCCACTCACAAGGTATCTCTGGGTTGTGTTTGGCCTCATGCCGGTCTCGGTCTTTCTTGCTGGAGAACCCGCCCCGCACAGCCTGTGGGCACCCTTCGTACCGGCAAAAGAGATGCTTGCGGTGACGATTATAGTGTTTCCGGAGATCACAGCCCCGACGGAAGACGGCGTGTGAGGAGCAGCCGGGGTATGCACAACGCCAGGTTCCGTCGGGATTTTGGATGCCATAGTTGTTCAGATCTCGCGTCTGGCTGCGGGCGGAGGAGGTGTCGGAGAGTGATTGAAGTTGGAGATCGTCTAGATCGAGGTCGAGATCAAGGTCGAAGTCAAGGTCTGCGGTGGTAGCGGAAGATAAAGATGCGGTGGTTACGGGGGTTAGCCGTGATTGAGAGAATGAGGACGGAGCTGACTCTGGGAGGTAATAGTCGGTATTTGTGGGGTTAGGAGATGATTGTGATGCTGCTATCGCGAGCCATTCTTCTTGATCAATAGGAAAGTATGCACCGTCTGTGGTTGGTATGGCTGGGGGAAAGGATTCAATTTCGGGTCTGAATGACTGCGGTGGTATGGTCTGGTGTGAGAATAAGGGTGGGTAGGACTCTTGATCCTGAAAGTAGTGGGTGCCAACGTCTGGCTTTCTTTGATGGAGGGGCTGTGTTTGGTCAAAGGCGTAGGGGGCTGACCCAGACATGCTGCGGGTATCTGACAGGGGGGCCTGTTGAAAGGCTATAGCGGGAAAAGAATTTGGCTGCACCTCCGACGACATTGTACTGTGGGTTGAGGAGCCGCCGGGCACCATCAGCATGGCTCTGTTGATAGTAGTCCTTGAGGTCATTGCGGATGGTTCGGAACTGGTCAAAAGTGCCCTAGACACTCGGGTGCGCTTGTTCTGTGAGTAGTCAGTATGGAGGGAATCTAGTCCGTTGAGCATGGGTCTCACCAATGTATCTTTGTCCATGGACGTACCTTCGGCGGTACTTGTAGTTCATGTAATGAGTCGACCTGGGGTGTTTCGGTGGGATGAAGCCTATTTCTTTGGATGGTTTGTCACAGATTGGCGGGCTTGGATGCATTCTGGATATTTAAAGCTAGTAGAAGCCGTGGTTCTCCAACATTCTTATCTTCAGGAGTGTCTCGAATGTCAGATGTGGCTATGCACAACCCCCAGGGCTGACGGTCAACGGGTAGCTGAGCGAATCCCTTTACAGATGCTCGATAATCGAATTTAGGGCGTCGATGTCACTGTACCATTGACTTTGGTACTGGCCCTCATCGCTGGTGGCTCCCACGTTTGCCCTGGAAATGCAGCTCGGGATTCCCGTGTCTAAACTCTCCAGAAGCCAAGGGGAACGTTTATTCGGCTGCTGCGAGGTGATTGGTAACTCGAATAGGCATGCAGAACTAATGAATTGTCATGCACTGCGGCTGAAAGATTAAAACCAACCCTATTCGGATGACACATTTGCTCAAAGACGATCCATCCAATCTGAGGCACAATGCCCAAGCAGATCAATATTAGTGCTCTGATTTTTGGGTGTGCGTTTTCTTTTTTCTCTTTGCTTTTCCCGGTTTACCACGCCAAAACAGGACTCTTGCTGCTTATGTAGAAGTAGCAAGTGTTCCATTGCCGCTTAAGTCCGACTCTCTGATAGGGCTGATGTAAAGAGCGTCACAGGATATTTTCATAAGGCACCAGAGAAGTGGTGATGGGTAATACAGACGGTTCTGGACATGAGGATGACGTTTGAGCCCCAATCCAGTAGTTACAGGACCTTTTGTTCGGCGCTGATAGGGCGCGTCCGTTCGGGGAGTCGGCGGACCAGCGTATGGACGGACGAAGCTGCGTGATGATTGGTTCTGTCGTGTACTTGTTCCGGCGACTGCATCGTACATATGCATGCGGAATTCTCTGGTTCATGGGGAACCTGGATGGAAAGTCTAAATGCCGTCTGAGCCTCAGCGCCGAGCGACAACCTCTAAACAAACTTCCAGGTGATCCGATCCCAGGATGGCCCAACAGGGTAGGAGGCAAGGCAAAAAAAAAGGCATCAAACTAAGATAATAGTCGTCGTACGAGTCATATCGCTGGGCAAGGGCCCTCGCCGTTGAGGGTTGGACAACGTCAACCATTCGCGATGATTGCTTGGACGGGAAGGTCAGGCCCCCACGCTTACTCCCAAATGGGTGTGCATTTCGACGCTATAACCATGGCTGAGAATGCAGATCATTTTGGCTTACCGCCAGATGGACTTAAGCCTTGAGCCCACGATCCCTGCCGTCGGGCCTTGGTTGCCAGTATTTCTAGGTGACGGGCCCCCGGGACTGGAGGATTGTACGCAGGAAGGCCCGGAAAGAGGGTCGCTGTCAGCATGGACCGGCTGCCAAAGAGCGGTGTCGCCAGGTCCAGTAGTCTTTAGTCTTCTCAGACTGGCCTCCAATGGGCTTGCAGATCTGGCCTAGGTCGGGTTAGATCGCGTGTCACTGCCATGTTACATCGCGGTGTGGATGTGTAGATACACTTTCGCGGAGAGAGCCAAAGACATTGTTCCAAAAATACATTTGTCACGGTTGAGGGGGCCGTCTATCATTCCTCCCCAACCAACACACATGACTATTTTCAGCTTCGTGTGATAATCCAGGCCGTAGACGCTGTATACGAGTTACAGCCATCTTTCCAGACGGTTGCTCCGTCGGCTGTGTTGGCGGAGAGGTCTATGAGGTCATACATGTCACAAACTCTCAGCCTCAGTCATCATCCGACCAAAAATCTTAGAGCGAAAAAAATTTATGTCAACCAGTTCGATGCTCTTCACATGACAAAGATCCTCCAAAAAAGAAAACGTTCTTATAATCAATTCATCCAAGAAACCGGAACCGCCGACGGGTCGGGGCCGCCGAAGTGTTCCAAAGTTTCGACATCTAACCACGAGAGACGGAAGTCTAAACACTAACTGCGCCCGGGCAGGCCGTTGGACTCAGATAACAAAGGAGTCCGGTCACTCGGGTTCTGGGTCTTACCACTATCGTCCTCTGCATCTCTGTAGAGAATATAGTGCTGCACCACAAAGATCAGATCGAAAAAGATGGTAACGTTCGACAAGAGAAATTTGATAGGGTTTCCAGTGACTCCACTCCAATCATCTTGGAAGCTAGAATCCAGCAGCAACTGGGCAAGGGATAAGACACCTCCAGACAGATCAAATAAGATCTGTCCAATACTCCAGCCGTATGTGGATTTACGCTTATAGTTGACCCACGCTTGCGGTACGTACTTCACGATGGTGATGACCAATTTCACGTAAGAAAGGGCATATATCTAAATTGACACAAGATCCAGGGGTCAGAACACATGCGGATTAGCCATTCGCAGATCTGTGGACTACTTACGACATCGATCCACGCCCAGGAGTATGGATCAAAACCGTTATTTGGGCTCTGGCCGAGAACGATGAAAATAACGATTGTGACGCCGACTATAGAGCCCCAGAAAAGGCCTGCTACCGGCTTGCTCACTTTCTGATGGCGAGAGACCTTGAATCCCCAGATAAACGGCCAGAACTGTGTATAGGTGATAAAGCTAAGAACGACGGCATGTAGAGCAAAGGCAAAGTCGTTGAAGCGCACGGTCGGGTCCTCAGCATGTGGATGACGAGCAGCATACTGATGACGAATCACGGGAGAGTAAAGAAAAGCGGACGTATATATGGTATAGCACACGAAGCCGAGCACGTTGATGGTAGGAAAGTCGATCGCCAGCCCCGTTGTCGAACGTCGCCGGAAGTTGTGGATCGGCTGGGGATAGAAGGACGCAGACCAACAGAACGTGCTGAAGAACGTTGATTAGTATGTACAATCCCCCCGATGTCTCACGTCTGTCGTGATGGGTATCCTCCCTAGTACTCGCGGGTTTGAAGACGTACTATATCCAGCCAAGTAGGCTGCGTTGCCATGGTGTTAGTACATGGTACAAATGAGATAAGGCGGAAAGATCAGGAGGGAGACCTACCGAGAAAGCGCTCTCACGAAGATTTCTAGCTGAGTTGCCATAGTTGCCTCCTTGTAGCTCTGCTGCTGCTTTCCCGTATAGGAGGGAGTAGGAGGGGCACTGCAGCGAGATGGAGAGGCTATCTATATGCCTCGATAGAAGGGAGGATGGAGTGGATCTGCTGGCGGAGAGAGCAGCTGATAAGATACGGAAAGCACGCGATTGCGGTCACCTGGCCAGACCGCTTTCCCAACTTTGTTGGCTGATCTCTGGAATTGGGTTCCTTGCAAAACTGGTGGATCGTTCCTGGGATGATTAATTGACCTGGGCCCGCAGGGTTCACAATGGATGCTACTATACTACTACAGAAAGACCAACGGGCCTCACTACTATCGACCAAATAACTAGGGTCGGTGGAGTAGAAATCCAACAAACCTTGAGCAAGACACTAACCCTTCTATTTGAATAGCCACCATTCCTTGTGAGACTAAGTCATCGGCTAAAAGTCCAGCTATGCCCCGGCTTTCACCGGGATCGGCACGTCTATTAATCAATGCCATGATCATCGAGATGCAATAACTAGATAATCTGCGAGGGATGGTTCAATTAGTGTCGATGATAATCATACTCACAGACATGCGCAGGCGGTCGCCCGCGGCAGAAGGCTGAGTCAGCGGGTGGTTGTCCGGGATATAGGCTGACGGGCTAAACCGCAAATGGAAAACAGTTGTTGCGATGAAGCGGCTTGCTTGCCCCAGCCTCAGCGGCATTCCAGCCTGCATCTCGATCGTTCGGCGGTTATCCGCTTCCCTGTCCCACGATCCGTTCATCTGCTTCAGTGCTGTTCTTTCTTTCCTTTCAAGTGGTCTTCAATCGTTGGCTATACAGGCTGGTGTCCTACCACGCTTCTCTTATCCTTGTCACATCATCTTACTACCTAGCCCTCCCCCACCCTCCATCTATACCTATCACTCACCGCTAGCCTCTTGTTCCTCAAAAGATAAACAACCATTGCAACGCTGGGCTCGGTCGCGTTTGAGCTTCTGCGATCGAATTCCCCGGGAACTCAAGTTGACGCCACTGCTATCGATTTCATTCGGCCTTTCCCATCAGCGCATGGTGCATTCTTCGGAGTGGGGGATCTCGCTAGATCTCCGTCGGTAGTTCGAACATTCCAGTGTCAATGAGATCGGGAGGAATTCACGTCGATCGGAACCTATAAGAGCTCAAGGTCTTCAGTAACCATGGCGGTCGACTCTGGCCTCTCCGCTGCGGGGAGCAGTACTTACGCTTCGAATACACTGCATGTCGGCGATGGAACATGGGACTCGGAGCGCGACACATTCCTCCTCCCTAATCTGATGGGTATCAACTTCGACACAATGCGATACAACGGTAAGTAAATTTCTGGTTCTATGTCGCACAAAATTGCTTACATATGTCAGGAATGGGAAACCGATTCAAAGATATGCCCGAATACCATACCCTCATAGCCGTTCACGGTATCATCGCTACAATCGTCTTCCTTTTCCTCGTCCCAATCTCTGTCTTGATCATCCGATACTACTCTCGATGGAATCCTTACTGGGCTTTCAAACTGCACGTCTGGTGTCAGGTCCTGACATTATTGCTGAGCACCGTTGTGTTTGTGTTCGGCTGGTTCGCTGTCGGTCCAAAAAGAAGCCTGACAAACCCGCATCACGGTATCGGACTTGCAATATATGTCCTGGTAATCTTTCAAGTTCTGTGGGGCTGGCTTGTCCATAAGATTGAGAGGAATAGGAGAAGTTATCATGTTCCCTTGAAGCTTGTTGTATGTTGTGTGACCGTTTGGTGTCCTGCCCAATAGCTAACTCACGCCAGATTCATCGATGGATTGGACGCGCCCTCGCAATCCTTGGTCTCGTTCAGATACCGCTGGGCCTCACCCTTTATGGCTCGCCTAAGGTGCTCTTTATCCTCTACGCGATCGTCGCCTTCATCCTTCTCGCAGTGTTCTTTGTGCTGTCATATCTATACGACACAGAAGGGTATCACATGGAGGGCGGCGGATACGAAAGTCGGCTCAGCTATGTCTCAGGGCCCTCAGCTGCCGATGACCATGGCCATAGTAACCTCGGGCCCATGGCTGCCGCAGGAGCGACCGGGGCCGGCCTAGCTTCGCTCTTCAGGCGTCGTTCCAGAGGCAGACCACACGATTACGACGAATCGCATACCAGCTTCTCAGACGAAAAGCTTTCCGACGAAGGCCCACGGCGTGGTGGCAAAGGGAATTTACTTCTAAAATTAGGCGCAATTGGTGGTGGTGCCTGGCTCGCAAAGAAATTCTTCGACAGAAGACGCGAACGAGACAATGACACAGAATCTGGTCGATACAGCAGAGCCCATACTCGGAGTGATAGCATGACCGAAGAAAGCTTGAGTAGACTGGAAGATGGACGACGACCGGAGCCAACAGCGCATACTCCTCTCAACCGTCCGCCGAGCAGGCCTCCCAGCAGACCCCCCAGCAGGCCCCCAAGCAGACCACCAAGTCGACCTCTTAGCCGTCCTCAAAGCCCAGGCTCGTCGTACCTTTACAACAGCACCTATCTCTCTGAAGCTCCCCGTCGCAGGCCATCCCACGGACTCCGAGACGCCCTGCTCGGAGCAGGGGCATTTGCAGCGATCAAGGGTTTCTTCTCACGCCGCAAAGGTGACGCAGAACAACGTCGCGTGGAAGACATGCGCCGTCGGGAGATGGAAGACGAGCGGCTAGCGCGGGCCAACAGCAAGCGACGCTACCCCGGAGAGGGCTATTACCCAAGACGCGACAGGCCGGCATCATTCACAGCTACGGACCTTTCATCAGACTTCTCCCGGCCACCCCGCGGTCCGCCGCACGGCGAGTCCATCGTCTCAGCCGCAAGACCCCCAATGGCATCCGGAGCAGTAGACGGAGCACGCTCAGACATACCACCGGCACCAGGACCACCCGTTCCGCCACCGGCAGCCTCAGAATATCCCGGACCAGCAGCATCTACGCACGGCCCCACGGAGCTCGCCTCAGGGGTAGCAGCCGGAACAGCCCTCGGTGCTGCATCATCGGCACATCGCCGTCGCAGCGCCAGCCGTCACCGAAGCAGCAGCCGACCCAGGAGTAGCAGCCGCCACCGCGACCCCATCGCATCTCCCCCGGTTTCCGTCAAAGTGAAAATGCACAACGACGGCCGCCACGTTACTCTCCGAAGACTAACGGACGAAGAAGCCGCCGCCAGTCGCGAAGCAAGACGAAGAGAGCGAAGGAACTCCCGTCGTCGCGCCGGCAGCGCAAGCTCACTATCCGGAAACGAAGGGGGTTCGCACGACCGCTGGCGCCGTGTCGAGGAGCTAGAACGCCAGCAACAGGAGCAGATGCAACGAGAGCAGGCTGCTGCTGCTGCGGCAGCTTCCTCAGCTTTCCCGGCAACTTCCGCCGCTCCATCATCAAGTATGCCTCCTCCTGCGACGTCAGCTTACTATGCACCACCGCCTCAAAACGGGAACGGGGGCTATATGCCGCCTCCCCCGCCACCCCCTGTGCCATCTAGCCATCCTTATGGGACGGGGAGTATCGCGTCTCCGGGTACGTTTACTGGGACGGAAGCGAGCGGGGACTACGCGAGCAATCGTCGACGAAGACGCGCGGAGAGAGCGCGTGCTCGTCAAGAAAGACAGCAGCATGGTGTGGAATTTACTTGATGAGAAGGTATCTCCTGCCGTATCCTTGACGTCTCTTCTTTTTCTCCTTCTTCCCCTGTATAGCAACCTTGATGATTACATGCCCCTTTGCTCTTTGGTGTTTACTTGCGTCCCATGAATCTGTTTCTTTTGATTTTACCCCCCCTTCATGTCAATCTTGAAATACGTTATGATGTACAAGTGCCAATGACTCGCTGTCTCGGGTGTTGGTTTTTCTGGAAACTACGCTTCGTGCTTGTTGAAGATATTTGTGCTCGGAAAGAGCTTCTTGTCTGGTGATGTCCGGTAATGACGCTATGAAAGCAGCCATACAGAACGGTTGCAATGAGCAAGGGAATGGATATGAATTGCTGGTTTTGTTTGGCTATTGGTTTATGATAAGATACTACTATGAGGAAATGCACAGTGCTTAGCTCATAAGCAGTAGGAGTCGGTGCTCCTTGAGCTGTGGTTTTCTCATTTGTCTCTCCGATTCCTGCATATAATGGTCGCCATGTCGTTCATATTGTGCTGCATTCTTGTTCTTTAGTGAAAATTAAAAATTGATGTCTTTCACGTCTGAAGAGTACCATCAGTAGCAAACTACCGAGCGCCGTATTGTTCTCAATCATACATCGGCTGAGCAAGACATCATTCAGTCCATTGATCAAGGAGCCGCATGTTGGTCTCTTGCGCTCTGGGTCGTATCAGACTCCCTTTGGTGAATGGAGAAGTTGACGCTGAACCTCTCTAGTACATACAATACTGGAAGTCCGATGATTCTCACACAGAGGTGCACAAAGCTAGCCACGACTTTTCTGCGTGTCAAGCTCCACAAAACGTTACATAAGCCCAAGATAAGCCGCATAGCGAGATACGGCATTGTAATATCGGCCCGAAAGAGACGGGTGGAATCATATGAAGAAACAGGTAGGTTGAGCTCTTGCCCTTGGGGTGTTTCAATAGACTCCGACGCGCTTGGGTTTGGCCATGGCCAAACGAAGCTCACAATGAACTCGTATGATGCAAATCCGGAACGTGGGTGCTGAAGTGGTTGCTGTCCAACCAAGGTTATACTGATAACACCTCGTTCCTTTGGCTGTAACAGGTGAGAAATCCAGCTAAGTGGCTTCCCAAGCCAGTTCCCCATGCGCTTCAGGTTTGGCTCTGCTACCTCTTGGGGGCTTACCAAGGCGGTACTGGGGTTTCGGACGCATGTCTTGGTAGACTTCGACTTAGCAGTTCTTAAATCCTGGCGCAATGGCAAGCCGTCAATTGAAGGCAAGGGGGCGGGGAACGGCTGGCTCAGATTGTTCTTGACGAGGTAAGGCTTTGTGCCACGTTTGACAGGCCGGGACAGGAATCGGGATGGGCCGAGCTTGAGGTCACTCCAGGGTCCTCTGTGTCGCTTGCCGATATCATTGTTCATACCTTCTAGCAATATTGATCGGTTGGCCAATCGAATGCGAGACCTCGAACAGCCCTGGGGAGTGGACAACTGAGCTCTGGTAGGTGCTAGCCATTTGTGATCCACGGGACCGTCTCTCAAGGCAGGCATCGGATTCGGGGTTGCATTCTCAAATGCCTCGGAGCCGGCAATGTCAAGGTGTGCTAAGAATCGCGGTTTAGGAGGTCTTGGCGGTTTCCACGCTGATTTAGCCTCCATGGGACTGCGACTATTGCGTTCGGATAAGCTTTTCTCATTCAATATAGCGAGGGTAGTGTTTCCCGGTCTCGCCGGAGACGGAGTATCTCGGTCTGATTTACCGCAAGGTCCGATTGTGCTCTCATACCATTTTTCAAAAACAAATGCATCATTAAACAGGTCGGGTGTTCCTTGGCGGTTGGCAGCGTCCTTATCAGAGAAAGTTTCCAACATCTTGTATGCTGAGGTTGACGGGTTTGTCGGGTGTTCTTTATCCACCTCCATTGGAAATATGTGGAAAGCGTCAGTATCATGAGAATAGCTGCGGGCCATGGTTGGGCGGGCAGGACAATTCTCAGGGTGTTTATACTGGAGTCGACTCGAAAAATTCTGGGGATTGTCCGATGCCTGGCAGGAGGGATATTCCGGATCACTGGACTTGGGCTCCTGCATGATGGAAACTGGCTTGGTGAACGCAGGCGGCATCATAGCACTCTAGATGTCAGTCGTCTGCTTTTTTCAGCGTCATTTAGGAAGCGAAAGAGGCCAAATCAAGCCGAAATTAAGTGTTGGCAAGACAAAGAGGAGCAGAAGAGGAAGGGAAAGGAAGACGAAAGCAAAGGTCTCTCCTCGACTAAGTCGGAAAGAGCAACCCAGGCAGGCGTGTAGCCGAGAAAGGCATCAGCAACCAGTTCATCAGCCAGACTAATTTTCAATATTAGCTATTTATGGGCCTCTGCCCCGAAAACCAAGCAAATAATGTTTCATGAGAATTGCTATAATTCTACAGGTTCAAAGTTGAAGTCGCGAGTGGATATGTACATCAGGTATCTATTTGAGGACGGCCTGCAGGCTCTCCAGCACCTGTTTTTGGTTGTCAGTCAGAATGTTCGGGTCGTGTTTGGTAGTGTCTGTCTTACCTCAAGCTCAATCTTAGCCTCAGCAATATCCTGCTCGCTGCCGCTTCCGTTGGCAATCTTCTGGGCCTCGGCGATCTGGGAACGGACGTTCTGTGTTGAGGGTGACGGATTAGCACTGCGCAGAGGACAAAAGCACGAATCGGTTAGAACCTACGTCAATGCTGAATTCCTCGAGAGGGAAACCCTCGACGGCGTTGATGCTCAGCTGGGAGTCGGGCTGGACAACGGCGAAACCACCAGACACTAAATTTATGAGCAGTCATGTCAGTCTTGTCCTAGACACGATGTGTAGCGGCTGATCTGAAGACTCTCGGCCCGCGGCACAAATATCAACACGGTTGGTCGGACGTACGGAAGAACTTCTTGCTGGCACCACCCTCCTCGACGATCTCAACGAGACCGGGCTTGAGCTGCTCAATGGAGGGGACGTGGTTGGCGAGAACACCCATCTCTCCGGACTCGGCGGGGATGTTGACCTGGACACTATATGGGAAAGGTTCGTAAGTATGGGGCGGTCTAAGGTGAAGGTGGTCGTGCAATGCTTTCGACCTATTCGGATTGCGAGGCTACATACACGCCGGCCGACTTGAAGATGGACTGTTGAAAGAATAAATTGTCAGTATCAAACACTCATGCAGGTGCACAGAGGCGCTCAACGGAATCGGAGGCGTACCTGGTGAGGAAGGGTCAGGGAAAGCTTGATCTTGTCCGACACAGCCTCGGCGTAACCTCTGCGCTGGAGAGGAACGCGGAAAGCGGAGGGACGAGCCCTGAAGGCAGAGCGAGCGAAGCGGAGAGAGCTCATCTTGCAATGGACGAAGGGGGTGGGTGGTGATAGTATCCCTCTTGAACCTGAGTTGGGAGTTGCAAAGGTCGAAGTCGGATGCCGGTTGTTCCCTAGCGGCTCGGGCGGTCACGTGGTGGGCCACGCGCCAACAGAAGACCGCCGTACTCGGTTGCTGCGTTGACCTGCACAACGCTGGACTCCTTCTTCTTCTTCTCCGGTTATTGGCTTTGGGTGTGGGGAGATCGCTCTCTGCTGAGGATGTTTAGCTTTTATCTGTCTGCATCCCGGCCGTGAAACTACCATCTGGACGTGGTCGTTGTTAACATGATTCTTTACAAGCATATTTAGCTACAATCCTACAAACTGGGATGGTCGAAGCAATCTAGGCGCGTAAGAGGCTAGGAGATAAGACAGCCATTATCAACATCACCACTGTCATACCGAAGGTCATTCAACCAAGTCCGCATGTATCCATCACTGGGGCCCATGTTAATGTCACGTGACATCCAGCTGTCAACATTTCCGTCATCGTAACTATGGATCCCACATCCATCCACACTATTAATCTCGATTCGACATCAATTGGACAGGGCTTGTGTTTGCCTGGATATTCAACAACATGCTTTCTGCATTCCACATCTAAAGCTCCGGTCAATGTGTGCTTCATAGTCATGCATACTACGCAGGATTTCCCCAGCATTGACTTCCTAGTTAACAGTCGGCCAAGACGTTAGTCATCAATCACGGGATTGTTTAGTGCCTCAGGTATCAATGCTATCCCCGACATTGACGATGCGCCACCATCTCCACGAAAGTATTCAAATAGCAAGCAGAACCTAGCATTGTAAACAAATCCATGTAGTTAGCAATCAACAATTCAATAACAATCAAATCTGGACCCTAAGCCAGGACAACCCCCCCGGCCCAAGCAGTAGCTAGAGAAGTAGGCCTACAGTAGTGAAGAGACACCAAGACGGGCAGGACGCTAGCCGTGCTCGGTAAGCGAAATCCCACAGAAAACCAGCCCTAGCCGAACCTGCCTTGGGGACTCTGGCCTTCCGCTCCGTTCAGGATAACCTCACCCGCCAACTCCTCGTCAACCGTCTGTTAGTTGCGACAAATCCGACAAGATGGCGAGTACGTGTCACCCCTTTTGCTCCAAAATGTTCAAAACCCCGTTATTTTTGCATTTCCCGTCTCTCTCGGACGAAGAATGCGATTATCGACCATCTTAACATCGCGAAGAATGATGTATCGCTGACATGAATCTCTACAGAGTCCAAGAACGCGTCTCAGCACCACAACAGCCAGAAGGCTCACCGTAACGGGTGCGTATAATATGCCGATTTTCCTCCTACCTTTTTTATCTGTTCCATACACGAAACGCCCGAGGACGAATACTGCGATGTTGGATAGAGGACGATATATCTTCGACAGATTTGAGGTTCAGCGAACGGGAGAAGGAAGAAGAAGAGGATAGATACTCTGGTCCTGATGATGGAGGATATCGACCAATATCCAACATTCGACATATTCGTCCTCGGGAATCTCGACACACAACAGCTACAACGGAACCGCTTGAGATAGATCGGAACACTGACCATCGCCTTCTTTTTCCAAATCAACAGTATCAAGAAGCCCAAGACCCACCGTTACCCCTCCCTCAAGGGTGTCGACCCCAAGTTCCGCCGCAACCACAGACACGCCCTTCACGGAACCGCCAAGGCTCTGGTACGTTTTTTTTTTCTCTATGATCGATCTAACAAGGAGTTTCTCGCTTGTTGGGCGAAGCCGAGAAGAATGACCCGACACTAACAACCCGAACAGAAGGAGCGCAAGGAGGGCAAGCGCGAGATCGCATAAATTACTTCCAACTAATATAGAAACGTTTTAAAAGAAATGAAAGCGATTTGAGTTGGTTGATTTGCTCTTATCTCTTTTCCTGTGTTTCCTACATGTGACCGACAAACGACGACAAGAGCAAAGCAAAGCAAAGCACCGGTTCGAGAGAAGATTCTACATTGGGCTGAAGGGTATATTACCCCGCAAGAAACCGGGTTTGTCACATAAAGCAAATGGATACGGTTCTCTAGCGTTGCTTTTTCTTGGGCTTCATTTATCCCCCGTGGCCGGTGGTTCATTTGCTTTTTTTGACTGACGTTGCGGTTCTCATACCGTAGTATGGTTGGTTGATGATGTTGAAGTTGGTGTTGATGAAACAGGCATATGTGTGTACAGCTTCGTGCTTATTTTCCCATGCGCGCTTGCTGAAGGATTTATTTTACGTGCCGAGAGAAGATCCCATGCCCTCCAATTACCAAACACCCTTTGCTCTTTGCTCTACCATGGCGAGAGGGTGCATGGACGGAGGGCTACATACTACCATACCATGTAGGCCTTGTAGGTTTTGATGATGAATTGAATTTACACTATGATTTCTGTTTATCAAATACACCTCAATAAAAAAAACTCGAGCTATTTTCTTAACTATATAACTCACTCAACCTTCCAAACAACCAACCTCTTATCAAACCCCCCACTAACCAACCACTCCTCCCTCTCACCCCCATCAACCCACCCCGCCCAAAGCGTCCTAATCTTACACCCAACCTCATGCCCATCCTTCAACAACGTCACCACCCTCCCCGTCTTCACCTCCACCCCTCTCACAACCCCATCATCCCCATTAACCCACACCCCCGAGCCATCCGGCCTCCACACGACCTGCGGCGTCGAGTACGCCGTCTGCGGCGCAAACGTATTCGCCTGGATCAAGATCGCCGCGTCCTCGCGATTCTGCAGCGACAGGGCAGCGAACGCCTGCGCCGCCTGCGTTGCTGGCTCCTGTTCCTGCTCCGCCGAGCCGGTCTCCAAACTCTCCGCTGAGGGAAACAGTAACCGCACAATCATGACCTTCATATGCGGAAGAGTTGATGTTGCGATGGCGATGAGACCCGGGTCATGTGGGCTGAGGGCCAGACAGGAGGGGGAGAAGGCGACCCAGGCGTTGGAGTGCGGGGCGAGGTTCTGTTTACCGATCAAGGGGCATTCGTATCCGGTGGTTGAGTCTGCCGATGGTTTGACATGGTAGTAGTAAAGATTGCTTGAGTCGCGGCGGGAGACGAGGAGGATTAGATCCTGGGGGTTGTCGATGTGGGTGGTGAAGAGGATGGATTCCGGGTTGGATAGTAAAGGGATGGAGGCGATGGGGTCGCCGATTTGCGTAGGGGCTTCGTCGTGGATTTGCATGCGGTAGAGGAAGATTTTGCAGTCCCAGCCTGCGGTTGCGATCCAGATTGTCGTAGAGGTGGAAGTGGTGTCTGCTCCGTCGTTGTTGTTGTTATTGTCCTCCTTCTGCTCGTAGGCGATGACTTTGACGGCGTATTTGGCGTGGTCTTTGCGGCGGTCGATGATTTCTGCGCCTTTTTGCAGAAGAAGTTGGCCTGACATATTGGTCATGAGGACGTATTTTCCATCTTGGATTGGGATGTACGATAGAATCGGGGCTTCTGATGTGCCCGTGAATGATTGGACGAGGTCATGGCCAGGAGATGTTTGGAAGAGATGGAGGTGCCTGTCTGCGCCGGTGGCGATCAAATATGGCTCTGCTTGTGCATCTGGCCTTTGCCATGGCTCTACGGAGCATGCCAGTAGGTTTGAACTGGTTGGCGTTTGGATGATGTTGGGCTTGCTTGGTGCTGTGATGGCAGGTGAGTTTCTAGTTTGGAGCGGGGCATGGAGGGAGTTATACATACCTGGAACGCTCCAGACATCTTTGTCCTTGTCATTGTCACCGTATCGCTCAAAGTTCTTGCTTTGGTCGAAGGCTTTCTTCTCCTCGAGTACGTTCTCAATGGTCCAGTTGCTCGTATTGTCTTTGCCGCGCTGTTCTCCCGTATCGGACGGGAGCCCCGCTTCTTGCAGGAAAGCTTTTAGAGTCTGCGTGTAGTTGTTTGTCCGTAAGAAACGGGCCACGAGGGTGCTGGCTAGTGGGATGTTTTGCGATTGGGGTGGCATCTTGGAGGTTGGGCTGGGATTGAGCGACGGAATGTTAAGTAGTAGTTTGTCGAGCGATACTAATTGGGGGAAAGATATACATCGGGCTAGTAGCTTCATGGCTCCACTCGGACCAGATCTATGTTTTTGACACCATTGACACTAAATTGAAAGTGGCCTGCTCAAACAGGCCGACTGGGCGCTACATTTCATGAGGATACCACATTTAGTAGAGAGTCAAGATGTTCTCATTCGTAGGCTGAAGTACAAAAGTATAAAAATATATATAAAAAGAAATATTGGTATCTTTTCACACCACCATCCCAGCAAAAGCAGAATGACAACCAAAGAGAAACCAGTCAGGCAAACATGCACATAACGACTTGACATGTTGCTCGCCAAAGGTCTAACCCAAAACTAAGTGCTAGGCCTCAGCTAAACATGTCCTCCGCCCTGCGTCGTGGCCCTCCTCGCCCCTCGATCTTATCGGAGAACAGCTCCTTGCCGGCGTTCGAACCGTACTTCGAAGGGAACAGTTCACGTACAGACGATCCCCGTCCTTTAATTGATATGCCATTTGCCGCACCGCGAATCGACATCCCCTGATCCTGCCTTGCTGCCCCGCGGATGTTGAGGCCGCTTGTCTCGGTCGCCTCGGGGAAAAGCTCGATATCCCGCTTACGGCGCGCAGGTTGTTGGTCATGACTTCCATCCACAAGAGGTACTGAAATTCTTCGCGAGAATAGATCTGCGGTCTCGTCCGCAGCATCGATTGCGTCTGACCGGCGATGGTTGCTAACCTTTTGAGGGAAGAGTTCTTTTGCAGTTTTGTTGGGAAAGAGCTCTCGCGTTTTCGCATCGCTAGCTTTTGCACTTGAAGATGGGAAAAGCTCCTTGCCTTCATTGCGGCGACCGAGCTGCGGCGACCGGTCGCGGAACCGTCTGCGATCCTGCCGCTCATCCTCAGCATATCCGCCTTCCATCAATGTATCCCGACCGGGTGACGCGCTACGGTTGCGAAGGCGACCAGACAATCGTCCTTCTTCCTGTGGAAATAGATCGCGTCCCCCTCGCCTTCCCCGCCTTTCGCGACTGCGGTCCGACGAGCGATCGCGGCTTGCTGGCGTGTCATCGTACATATTGGCACTAAAGCTCTCGTCTGCATCGCGGTCTCTCCGGCGTTGCAGTTCTCGACCATCAAACCGTCTTCGCCTGTAATCCCCGTCACTGACATCTCCACCTCCCGAGCGTCGTCTGTCGGCGGCGAATTCTCGTCGCAAGCGTTCCCGAGGATCGTGTTCAGGGTGCATGAGGTAGAACCGACTGGCTTCGTGCGCGCGGGGCTTTTTGCGATCTGCCTTGACAGCTGACCGAACCTGGAGGACAGAGTCGGGGTGCGTAGAAAGAAGCTTCGCGGATCGTAACCGTAGAGCAGGCAACGCAGATGCATCCTCCTCCTCGCTAACCTGCGTAAAGGCTGACAGAGCTTGGAGACCAATCTCCGGCGAAGAGTATAGGAGGTTTGCCGATGTGTCATCAATCCATTCAACGCGACTTGGCTCCTCCAGGGTGAAGTGTTCGACAGCAAATTGTTTGATGTTATCCGTTGTCAATTCGTCTACACCGCGTATATGAACCTTTTCGTACTGTGCCTCCTCATTAAGAGGGTCGATGTATTCATCTTGAACAGCTGTCGTTGCCACGAGGGTTTGTTCCTGGACAGTTCGACGAAGATGTTAGACGTGAACAACTAAAATTCAAGATAGATTAGGCAAGAATGATCTCACAGTCTCAATTGGCTCTGTTTCCGGAAGGGGACCAAGGTCAATGTCCATGTCAATATCCATGGAGGCGTCCATTGTGTCAGCGACTGGGGCAGCGTTGGAGGCGTCTAGTTGAAGAGAAGGCTGTTGCGCGCTGGCTACCTCCATTGAGGGAGGAGAACTCGGTCGGAAGATGCGGGTATTTGATGTTATGCCCAAGCAAAGTGAGAAGCAAAGTAAAGTAGCTTTAACAAAAGCTCGATGGCAATGAAACAAAGAAGAAGAGGGGCGGCGAGGAGGCTGAGATGAGCGTAATGTGAAGCCGAAAGGAAGCTGTCTTCTACACCGCCCGGACCAGTCGCCGGCGGAGTTTCGCCGCTGCCGCTGGCGATGATGTCGATGCTCTTTTTGTCACTTCAACTTGATGTCTCATCTGAATCTCAACTATCAATTAGATCTCAGAGAAGAGCGTGCTTATTTTTCCTTCTTTTTTTCTAAGTTTATATTCACGGGTTCCATAAAGCAGATTAGACTGATTAGACTGACAAATAGCCAAATTTGTCTATGACGCTTGGTGGTGACCGGCGCGACAATGACGACGTTCATGTCAAGCAACACATGGCTAAAGCTTTCGTTGAGCTGTTGGTCACCGGTGTTCTCTTGGTGACTCGGAAATAAAGCATGGCATGCTTGTAAAGTGACAGTACCAGATGAGACAAGATTGATTGACTAGTCTGGACAAGAAGCAACATTCTCAGCATCAGAACACCCTTCCGATCCTATCATGGCAATGGTTTTAGCCTTAACAGATTGAAAGTCAAGTGTCATGAAGCTGCAGTCGAACTCTGATACAAGGAAGAGCCGTGGTGGTAACCAATCTGATCATGTCTTACTGAAAGCTTCATGGTCTATTCGCATCACCAATTGTTATCGCCTCACTCGATGATACTTGTGGCGTGACAAAAGCGAGCATAGTTTTTCCTGTGGTCTCGGTTCTCATCCAGGAGAAATTGGTCCCATACTTCCAGCTTTATCGTCCTTCCACCTAGCCCAATGATGCGACGTGACTGAGTGGTCTGCTTTCCGGGATAATGATCTGCCCTAAATGCTAGCAATAAATCAACCCACTGATGGCAGTCTCATTTAGCTTTCAAGTGGTACGTCAAGCCACGTACTACCCTAGCAGATGGTTATCAGACGGTGCCTCAATTCCCAGGTCACTTTCCTACTCTGTTTCACCGTTTGATGAACGGTCAGACCTGGTTAAAATCCGGGGTTACCCCCACCGGGGCTCCGGAGATGCGGTCTTCGATCATGTGGGAGCCATTGCTTCTGGTTATGCTGTCACTTCCGCCGTTGCCGTTGTCAAATGGCGAGTCTGCTTGACTGAATTAGTGGGCTTGACACCTGATCCGCGTAGGGCGCTGTCGCTTCGCACGATGATAATTAACCTCGCCGGATTGTCGTCCCGATGTTCCTGCTCTACTCTCCTACGGCGATATAGAATGCCCGTGGTGACTAACATGGACCATGAAGATGCAATTGATCAGGAATTCGGGCCGAACAAGATGGTATATTGATTTCCGTTTACATGTAGAGCCGTCCACAGCATCAACGGCCAACGCTGGCTTTTCTTTTCTATATACAGAGCTCTCGATTCGTTCCACCTTCTAAACAAACTGCTGTAAATTATCCTAATTCTAGCAAAATATTCAATGATGAATCGGGTCAAGACAGCATAATTGCAATCATGACCAGATGCAACCCTGTGTTGCCGCCTTCCCCGCTTCTTGTCATCTCGATTCTTCCCCGGAACTTCACCTCCTCACTACAGGATTGTGGCGGTTAACATTAGGCTATATTCCTCTATCCCAGCCCAACGAATCCCATTCGTGGACCCAAATGACTTCCGATCTCTTGGCCGGAACAAGTCACTCGCTCTAGAGCAGTCGTTTCTCTACGCTGCCTTTTCTACTGGACGAAGATGAATGGATCTGGTCGGCAGTATGCCCGTCGTGGCGCTGGTGACACTGTGACGCAGGCAGCGATGCGGCCCTAGCAGGATGCTGTGTTCATCTCCCAATTGGACCGCATCAAGTGTACTGTTAGACAGGTCATCGTGAGGGGCTGCAATTGCACAGCATGTTCAACCACCCCCCTCATTTCCACATCTTAACTGACGGGTTTAAAACAAATAGAGCCCTTCCCATACTCCAGTGGCCTTCAGAATCCACTTCCCTCGCATACCCACCCAGACAACACACACCATCACAATGCTCTACACCGAAGACAGCAAACTCATCTTCCGGTTCGACGATCACCTCCTCTGGATCCAGCCATGGGGCGACAATGCGCTCCGAGTAAGAGCTACCAAACTGTCCTCCATGCCCACCGAAGACTGGGCCTTATCCTCCAAGATCCCATCAACCGAACCTACCATCAGCATCGAAGAGCACAAAGACTCCAGCATCACCAACGGCAAGATCACAGCCAAAGTATCCCAACGCGGCAAGATCACCATCTACAACCACAAAGGAGACAAGCTGCTCGAAGAATATGCTCGCAATCGCAGCGATCTCAAGGACCCCAAATGCAGCGCACTGGAGGTCGAAGCTCGCGAACTGCGACCAATCTTAGGAGGCGACTTCCATCTGACCATGCGATTCGAGTCGCTGGACCCTAAAGAGAAGATCTACGGAATGGGGCAATACCAACAACCCTTCCTCAATCTCAAGGGCGCGGATATCGAGCTAGCGCATCGAAACTCTCAAGCCAGTGTCCCCTTCGCGCTCTCCTCCCTTGGCTACGGGTTCCTGTGGAACAACCCAGCTATCGGACGAGCTGTGCTAGGGACAAACACCATGAGCTTTGAAGCCTACTCTACCAAGATGCTCGACTACTGGGTCGTAGCAGGAGACAGCCCAGCTGAGATCGAGGAAGCCTATAGCAAAGTCACTGGCTACGTGCCGATGATGCCTGAATACGGCCTCGGGTTCTGGCAATGCAAGCTGCGATACTGGAACCAGGAGCAGCTTCTTGACGTCGCCCGAGAATACAAGCGACGAAACATACCATTAGATCTCATTGTCGTTGACTTCTTTCACTGGAAACATCAAGGAGAATGGAGCTTCGATCCTGAGTTCTGGCCGGATCCGGGTAAGTCCTTCTCATACACCTAGATATATAATTATATAAAACCTCATCGCCAACTAATTCACTCCTCCACCATACAGACGCCATGATCAAAGAACTCCAATCCCTAAACGTCGAGTTAATGGTC